TCTGTTCACAACTGGTCCCCCCCCCCCCCCCTCCCACTCGTAACGTAGGTGGCGGATTCAACCTCTCTTTCCCAAATGCATTTTCAGAAGGCCCCCCGCTTTCGCTATTACACATCGCATGGAGTATTGAGTGTCCCCACCCTCCCACCCCGCGTGCTGCAAAGGTTCGAGGTTATGGTTTGGCCGGCGACGCTCACCACATTGCCGCGCCGACAGAAGATGGGGATGGCCCGAGGCGGGCAATGCTTTCCGCCGTAGGTGAAAATATTGCTTCTTAAACGAGTGTTTCGTCGCTATCAAGTATGTCACACAGCAGGGATAAGAATACACCGCGATGTTTGCTTGCATATTAGTAGTTCGGGTCAACTCAACCGTTTGTTTGCATAGTAGTAGTTTGGGTCAATCAGCTACATCGAGAGGCATGGCGAACAGAGTTAGGATGAGGCAATCAGTGTTTGGGTGAGCGAGCAATCCGGCAGCCAAGAACACGAACGGAAGGTGCTCTGTTTCGAAAAAATGGGTGCACAATTCATGGTCCAATGACTCAGGCACGCCGATACCATCTGAGTCCCCCCCCTGGATATTTTACCAGTACCCCCCGCCCCGGCCGCCCCCCCGTAGTCGCTCCTGTTCATGTGTGCTTTCTCTTGGCCTTCTTGGTTGTATTGCCGCTAGTTTAGTACTGCGCCATGCTTCATTTTGTGCAAAACACGCCGTGTTGTGCTGTAGAGGAATCGGGGCTCTCGCCGGAATCTGTCGGGTACGTTAACGCCCACGCGACTTCCACGCCGCTGGGAGACGCCGCCGAAGGGCGTGCGATCGAACGAGTCTTCGGGAAGAGGTAAATATATACTTCTTCGTAGTACGGAGGGAAAAAAGAGTGTTTCGGGGAATATGTATTATGTCCGATTGATGTCGGGGCGAGAGATGAGATTTCGGTTTCGGAAAAACGAAAAACGATTCTTCAGGCTGAAGTTAACAGGGAGGGAAAGAGTGAACGAGTGTTCCGGGAGTATGTATCATATCTGTTATTTGTCGGGGCGAGGGATGAGATTTCGGTTTCGGAATTCCGAAAACCGAGCGAGTCGTTTGCCCCCACAACCGCTGATAGTGATCGTGAGGTGCGAGCAGACCATGCAATCGGTCCAAGCGCAGACCTCACAGCAGCAACCTCCCCCAATGACCTTGTTGCTTGTCCCTGCTGTCGCCCGCGAAACGGTGGGCCCAGGCAGTCGTTGTTGGTTTCGTCGACTAAGGGGGCAACGGGTCATCTCCTCGGTGCTGCTGGTGAGTATTGAGGAGGGAGACGGACTGAGTAAGGGCAGGGGAGGAGCTGATGTGCTCCTTTGTTGATGGTAGTGAATGTGGTGATGACGTGATGTTGGTTGTTTGTCGACAATCCTTATGTTGTTGTTGTTGTTGGCGGTGGTGCAGCGGTCCTTGATGCAGCTGATCGTTCGCACGTTGGAGGCTTTCGTGTGATAGTCCGCTGGTGCTGGAAAATGCGGTGGTTTCCTTGGTGAGTCGTGGAGTGAGTGCTGCGAGCTCGCCCGCCCCCCTGGCGGTGCTGATATTCTTGTGCTCGCCTGTTCGTCCTGTGTGCCAGGCGAGCCGACTTCCCCTCCCTTAGGCGCAACGCCGCGCACACCATCCACGTCACAAATTTTATCTTCATGCCCTAAAGCCTTTTGCAACTGCGGGAACCCAGTAAGTTCTCGTGTGTTTATATTACGTCCTGCTCCGTGTTGTAGTTGTTTGCTGTCATTTCCGCTGAGGTTGTTGCTATTATTTTTTGGGATTTCTTGTGGCTCTTGTGGTGTTCGACGTTACAGTAATCGCTCTCATGAGTGCTCGTGGTATATGTGGCGGTAAATATCTGTGTGGGAAAGCTCTGTTGTCATTCACCACAGTTTGAGTTGCTCTCGCTGAGGCTGACTTCTGTCGACTCTCTTCACACGACAAGGTCACCTCATTTCCTTGGCTTGCAGGATTTCGCAAAAGTGGGTTGTTTATTTACATTTTCCACGTGTACTTGGTGTTCTGTTTCCTCTTCTGACAGGGTCCCTGGAGGCTGCGTTCTCGATTCTCGCTCTAAGGGACGGTGTTGTGCCTCACACTCTTAACCTCGCGACGCCGGACCCGACGTTCGGATTCACAATGGTCAAGGGTGCACCGGTGGGTGGTGGTCGCGTGTGCGTGCGTGCGCCAGGGATGGCGTGTGTTCCGTGTCTGGTTCTGTTGCGGTGATTTCCTCATCAGCCGCGCTCCTTACAAAGCTATTTGCCGGCCTCATGAGTCGATGTCCGGCGCGCAGTTTAAGTTCCGGGTTGTTTACATTTTTGCTTTTTTTCTTGGCTCGTTTTATCGTCGACAATACTTGCGCACTAAAGACTAGCTATCCCCCCCCCCCGCCCCCCCCGGTGTTTGCCATCGGGGTTGGGTTTTCGTCGCTTGGCAACGACGTTGTAAAACAAGCCAATTCACTTCGTGAACTCGGCAACCAGGTTACCGTT